ATAGTCTCGACCTCTTCAACGCTTCCTCTACCCTACACCGAGGGTTATACTGCCTATAACGTACGCGCTGAATGCACAAGAGCGCATAGAACCTCATGTACACAATTTCTTTAAAGTGGGGGGGTCGAGGCACTAAATGTGGCCCAGTAGAAGCCTTACTGGGATCAAAAATCACGCTGAGAGAACTGTAGCTTTTCAGACTGTCTCCTACTGTCAATGGGGAGTCCCAAAGCTCAGTAGCTCCTCCTCGTACATTATCTACAGGATAAATTACAACTACTAGGTTATAGTACTGCGAGCACAACGGGGAGTCAACAGCACGAAGTTCCTTGCCGTATATTCGGCAAGGTCCACGCACGTGGTTTACCACTGCTGCGGCGCCCCAGCTACTCGTTTGGGTAGGGTTCACTTCCAAAAGCGGGCTAAGGGGGGACTTCCCTATGCTGTATCGGAAATATGCACTAGCCTACCTTTTCTCATGCCCTCGCTCGTGTGCATGAACTTGCGCCCAAGGAGTCAGGGCAACGATGCCGGAAGGTTCGGCGCTAATGCTCTCAGGAGGCAGTACTAGTTAGACGCCCTCGGACGCATCCTGATTCCGAGTCATGATCCCGCAGTACGTTGACGACCGCACTTGAGAGTTTGCGGCACGCCAGTTGTTGTTCCACCACCAGAAGTGAGTATCTCGACCTTGGCAAGGAATATGAAGAGGTAAATCACGTATCCTTAGTATAAATCCTCTTGAACAGAGCTGCGCTTGCCCGCTGCGGACGATGAAGAAACTACTGCCAGCGTATCGCCGCCGACGAAAATCTCTTGAGATCGCCGGGGCGGGCAGCCAAGTCCCCGCTGCGTCTCTGCCACCCGAGGTGATCATGCTGATACTGGGCCATGCCCTCAGTTCATGCGCTCGATGTCCCCCTTGCAAGATGAATTCCATCTTTCACGATAACCATCGAAGGGTTCTACGCACTATCATCCCTGTCAGCAAGGACTGGTACTGGCCCGTTGCTACCCTTCGCTATCGGAGCCCCGTTCTCCATTCTCGAGAAGGCTTAATCCGGCTCGCACGTACTCTCGGCGAAAGACCGCAGCTTTCGCGCTTGGTGTGCTCGCTTGCGAGACGCATAACTCCCTGGAGCTCGACCACATTCTAGGTCCTGCGCCTTGCACGACCTCCCTAACCCGGCTTGTCCTCAAATGCGCCCCTGGTCGCCCTAAGACACTCCCCATCCTCGATATTCTAGCCACCTTCTCATGTCTTCGGGACCTGTGCCTTGTCGGTTTCAACGGATGCGGCGCGCTGCGGCTGCCTAAGCTCCCATCTCTCCGGATCCTTCGCGTTTGGAGCTGCTACGTCAACGAGGAGCAGGTTTCCCCGACGCTCGGGGGCCTGGCTTTGGAGACACTCGAGTTCTTCGATACCCCGACCGAGCTGATTGGGATGGTCTGCGCGTACTTACACCGCGGCGACTCTCGCGTGTCTCCGCGCAAAGAGCTGGATATGGGGGTCGCGGGGCGCGGGCCTCGACGTCTCGACACTCCACTCAGTCGCGCAAGTCCGTGTCTCTTTGCTTCGGTTCGGGGCGTCACTATGCGGAGTACCACGTCAGAGGCGTGGAAGCCATCGCGGCCCTGGAAGCGCCTGTCCTCGAATGGCCGGGACGTTGGTATGAAGCCGACTCGCCCGACCCGGCGGAAGAGGAACTCGCCGCGGAGACGGTGGAGTTGATGGGTTGGCTCCCCTGAGCGCGTTCCCGAAGCTTGGATGCTTGACCATCACGGGCCGCGGGCCATCATGGGCGGCGGTCCGCGCGAACGAGCAAATGTCGAGTCTCGAGAAACTCGGAATAGTCTGCGAGCTGCGGGGCGTGACACTGGCTTCTCGCCTTTAATCCCACAACGGAATCGCGCGAGTCGTCCGCCCCCCAACTGCAGACGTCGGATAAAGCACTCGATCTGGCCAAACAAACCAGCTGGCTTCGGTGCCCACTGCCTCGTATAAGCGAGAGGGGAGCCGCGGATTGGAGCAGCCCGAGCGGACGAAGGGGTGTATGCGCAGTCTCGGATTCATGACGGTCGCCTGCGCGAGTTCCCCATTAATATTCTTGCCGGGCGTAGGGAGAGCCATCTGGGCACGCCCTAGGTAAGCTTAGGGAGGGCTCTGTGTCGGGTCCGGGGTTTGTCCTTGTGGACTGGACAAGTACTCCCGGCCAAGGACGACGTGGACGACGACGGCGAGAGGGAACGGGCATGGGCTCAGAGCTCGCGCTGGACTGTTGATGCACGCGGGGAGGATCGCTCTCGAGGAGGTACTCGCGATGGAGGCGCTCTGGATGTGTTGCGTTCGTCGGCAGTCGGTCCGTAGTGTCAGGTGGCCTGTCAGTCGAGGGTTACGTGCGGATGTATGTGTGTGTATACTAGACTTGACATCGAAGCCGAGATAATACAGATTGACTACTGATCGCTCTGTGCAGTGCCAGCTCCGAATGCCGTCGAAATGAAAATGTCGGCGGGGTGCGACAGGAAATGTCAATCAAACGTGAGATCGCGACACCGTGATCTTATCGGATACCAGCACTTGATTGAAGCGATGAATACAAACATAACATTTTAGATTCTTCTCCCCTCGTCGCTACTACTATTACACTGCATGGTACAACTCCTTTCACTCAAAGCTTGGGCGCCAGGGTTCAGAGCTTGGAGCCAGAGGTGGCGTCGAGGTAGCGCTTCTCGGCCTCGTCAAAGTTGATGACGTTCCAGATGGCGTTGAGGTACTAGCGGGCCGTCAGAGCAGAAGGGGCGGTAAGCAAGCTGCGAGACTCACGTCGGCCTTGACGTTCAAGTACTGGAGGTAGAAGGCGTGCTCCCAGACGTCGACGCCGATGACGGGGACGTGGGTGAGGAGCGGGTCCTGGTTGGGGGTGGTGGTGATCTCGAGGCGCTTGCTGGAGGGGTTGACGCCGAGCCAGCCCCAGCCGGAGCCCTGGATGCCGGCGGTGGTGGTGTTGAACTCCTGCTTGAACTTGTCAAAGGAGCCCCAGGTGGCGTTGATGGCGTCCTTGAGGGGCCCGTCCTTGAGCTGGCCGCCGTTGCCCTTGCCTTCGGAGGCGGCGGGGGCGAGGTTCTGCCAGAAGAGGGAGTGGTTGATGTGGCCTGATCGGGGGGTTGGTTCGGGGGATCGGCGAAAGATGCGTGTTACATACCTCCGCCGTTGAACTTGAGGGCGGCCTGGAGGCCGATGCGCTCCTTGGGGGTGGACGCCTTTGCGTATGCGAGCTCGGCCTGGTTGAGGGCGTTGACGTAGGTCTGATGGTGCTTCTTGTGGTGAAGCTCCATGATCTGGCGGGAGATGAACGGCTCGAGGGCGTCGTACGCGTACGGCAGGTCGGGGAGCTTGTGCTGGCCGGTCGCTGCTGCTGCCATTGCTGCGGTCTGTGGTGGTGGTGGACGACGACGGTGGGTGGGAAAGGGGGGGACGATGGGGACGATAACGAGCGCGGATTATATATTCCTCGGCGATGGCTGATTCAGAGTCTGAGTATTCGATGACGTTCTGCTTTTCCACGGTCACGGGCTGCATTCGCTCTCATCTCAGGACTGCTCGTCATCGCTGCTGTGACTGCCTTTGTGGATTACCTTGTGTTTCAAAGGGTTTATTTCCCAGAGTTGGAGTCTGTCTGGTCTCAGAACAACGGAGGGTCGACGCGGAGGCCCGGCAGACGCCTGCAAACGCCCTTGGATTTGTCTGGAACTCTACAGAACTCGACGCTCGAACGGCCGCTCGGAACGAACCGAACGCTGATACCGTATGTCGTGATTCAAGAACCAGGTAACGACGCGTATCGGGCAACATATTGTGGGTCTTTCTCTGCTGCAGGCCACGGTGTGTGGATGCCACTTGTCACCTCCGCGTCTCTGGTTTCCGATACTTGTGCTCTGGTTCGACCCTTCCTCAACCCGACCGCTTACTTCGCGCCCCGCGTACGCGGATACGTCGCTTGTGCTGTTCTAACCCATATACAAGTCTCAGGCATGTGAACGTGATGGTTGAGCCTTGTAGACGGGTTATAGCATGTTTCTTGACGAGCGCGGCGGGTCTGCGACGGAGTGCATCCGTGCAGTTGCTATCGGGCGCTTGGTGCCAGTGACTTAGTCGTCGCGCTATCCTCGTTTATGATTAGACGCGTTGAGCTCTGGCGTTCTACGCGCACGGCAAGTCCTCCGATTACTTGCCCCCGGGCCTCCCACTTCGCTCCCGCTCCTTCCCTGCGCACCCCCTGGTGAAGACAGGGACGCGAGGCAACGACCAGAGGGGGTAGACGCCCCTAAAACGCCCAGTGGCTGCGCGGTACGTCCTCCCATTATCTGCCCTTGGGCCTCCCAACCCCCTACGCGTCTCTCTGGTCAAGACCGGTATGCGAGCGGCGACTCAGAGGTAGACGCCTCGCAACCATGTTGAGAACCCCGAATAGACAAAATCGACAGTCGCGGGGTCCTCAATGACCGCTTGAAGCTGGCGTTGTGATAAATGCCACGATTAGATGGGTATCTTGTCAGTTTATCTTCGCAGAAGAGAGCGTGCGGACACCGCCTCGATAGTCCTCGTGCATCCTCGGCCGCCGTCGTTTCCTTTGTGCAGACGTCTCGGGCCGCGACGAACCCCGTTCGCCCGATGTGCTCCTCCGTCGCTGTAGCTCGTGTTCCACTCCCCGTTTCACCTCGCGCCTCGTTTCTGGACCAGCCCGTATGCGCGATTCAGGCATCTTGACGCAATGCCGGGCCCGTGCGTACGGGTCGAGGCAGGCTGCCTGGCGCGACTCGCAGCCGAGGGCTCGACTTGCGCCGCTGGTTCGGGCCTTTGTTCTGCCGACATCGTCATCCTGGGCTGACGCGTGCGCAGTTCGTGCAAGGTAAGCCATCCGTTGCTTTCCGGTTGTTGTTTTTCCCCTCCCTCCCGCGACTTTGAAGTCATTTGCGTATGTATCCACACCCTCCCAGGGCGTCCCGGGACTCGCTCCAAGCAGGCGCGGTTCGTATAGGCTGCGTTCGCGATACCGCGATGGACGTTGCCTTTGTGCTCTGAATGTCCAGGTGCTTGCGGGGACATGTTGCGGAGATGTTCCAGCTAGGAAATTCGGTGAGTACTCGTAGAAAGTCAGAAGATAATGTGTGATGAAGACATATCGCGGTACGTGTCGGGATCGCACTGATGACGTTCGCGGCGCGACGCGTTGCGAATGCATCGGGGTTCGTTTTTACTTCACGAGTCCGTGTGTATGTCGCAACGGGCGGGTGTGCTGTATTGCAGTCCCGGCCTGCGCTGCACATCCCGAGCGCCTCGTCTAAACTGACGAGCCATAGCAGATCGAGACAAGGCGGCACGTCATCTGCTTTAAACCCCACAGTCTAGGTTCATCCCGCCACTCTGGCGTTTCGGTGGGCGGTCGGGAATGCGTCGAGTGCAGCCGCTCGCGTCACTCGCGCCCTCACCCTCAGCGACGCCGACCGTTGCCACCAACAATTCCAGCGTCTTTCGTCGGCCGCGCGCCGTTTGTCGACGGTAAGTTCTACTTGGGCTTCGTTCTGCAGACGTCTTCACCTTGAGCTCTAGTGCCTATCCGTGGATCGGCAAACTCGCAATAGCGCACTTTGCGACTGAAATGGGTCGCTGGGAAAAGCTTGCGACGGTGCGAGTTCCAATTCTGATATCGGGCTTGATGTGATTTCGGACATCTCGTAGCCAGCAGCTCGTTGGGGAGTACTCTCCATCAGACGACTTGGCCCAAGGATTTAGTGAGTGCCTCTTATAACATTTCTTCGGGGTAGCGAGGATAACAATGGACGCGTAGTGACAGTCGGTCGCACGAGGTACGTATTCGCGGCACCCGGAATGTGCTCATTCATCAAGTCGACCTGTTCGTACTAGACAAGGGATGCGTTGCGTGTTCAAGTCGCACCAGGGAATACGTTTCGCGCTGTTGCTCCCCCTTGCTCGAGGACCGTACGGGACGTACACGGTAAGCAAGTGGCCCCATGTATAATTCACTAGTCTAACGCCTACGCTCATTCGACCTGGAGTCCTTGGGCGCTCCGTCTCTTGCTCTGCGGTACGTCAACTGCTCTTTGTAATGCTGCCTGACCGGACTCGGGACGGGGCTCGACAGGACGGGCGTGGGTTCTATTGATTTGATACTACAAATTTCGGTCGCAAGCCCGGCATCTTGTGCGCATAATATCCGCATGGGATGTATTGACCAGGGGCGTGGTTCTATTTTCCGGCTTCCCGGAAGCCCGAGCGGATCAGCGAGACTATGGACGTATGAAGGCAAGGCTCCTGTACATATAACGGAGTGGCACCTGCGGCGACGGCATCGCTGAGCACGTGTACTCGTCCTCAACCCGTGTATACAGGTGTCGGGTGCTTTCCGGAGTTGGCCAAGTGAGGATACTGCTGGCGAGGTTGAAACACGCCGCTAGCGTAGTGTTCAAGACAAGTACGTCCACACATTCCGGCACGTCCTGCGTGGTTTTCTGACCTCCGGAATGGGAATATATACATCCAAGGACACTAAACGCACCCATGGACACGGACGGCGAGATACTACATCATCTAAGATCCGTGAGCCACATCTCACGCTGTCGCAATCCGGTCGAGCGGAATTGGGAATACTCCCTCCCAGTCTAATAACCCCTCGCGGCAAAAGCTTAAGAATGAGCGTTATCCGAGGACGGAGGCGAACGGCGCTCTTCAGCTGACCCCGCTGGCGGACCCTAACCTTGGTGAGTCATCTAAGAATAGCTGCGGCTGTGTTCGTGGTATTGTCGTTTCGCTTTGCCGTCGCGAGTTCGCATCGAGCCCTTCCTGATGCATTACTTCAGGTTGGAGACTTTGTTTGATGGCTCTGACTGGGCAGCTTAGCTTGTGCACTCAGGTCCCACCAAATGGCAAGTATGAACGATCCTCGTCTATATCCGATTCATATCTCACGAGGAGACGCTCGTGTATGCGATAAGAGCGCCGGACAGAAGCTTATGGGTTTCGGATCTTGTTCTCTGCTTACAATGGGTGCGCTTCCTCGAGTACTCTGGTATCCCGAACTCGGCATGGCAGAAGTACCCGAGGACCAGCATCCGAGGTAGCTCGTCCACAGCACTATATAGTAGTCTCCCTCGGGACTTATTATTGTGGTTCTCTCTCAATAATGCACGTATGTCTTCCGCTGCTTACCCTTCTCTCTCTCGCCCTCTCCCTGACCCATGCGCTTCCCGCCCCTCCGCCGTCACCCAAGACCAACGCAACCGTCCTCATCCTCGGAGGCGGCGTGGCGGGTGTCACTGCCGCACGAACTCTCTCACAGCTGTCCCCGTCCACCTCCTTCCTTGTCATCGAAGCGCGCGGGGAACTAGGTGGGCGACTGCAGTCGCACACGATGGGCTCCTACACGGTTGAACGTGGCGCGAATTGGGTGCACGGGACGCAGACGCGCGACTTCGAGCGGGTGAACCCGATATGGGAGATGGTGAAGCGGTGGGGGGTCCGGACAATGTATAGTGACTACTACGGGAGCATGAGTAAGTTCGTCCATCATCTCCACTTTGCATGAGGTGTCACAGACAGCATCCTAGCAACATACGACGAAACTGGGCCTGCGCCCTTTCTGCCTCTCCTCAACGCCTCGCTCGCAGCTTATGCGGCTCTCGTCACCCACGCTTGCCCTCCCGCTTCATCTACCTCTTCGGAATGTACCTCCGATTCGTCAGCAAGAGATGGCTACGAATCGCTAGGCTTCCATCCCGAGACACCGGCAGAGAAGGCGGTCGAGTATTATACTTTCGACTGGGAGTATGCGGACCGCCCAGAGAAGACGAGCTGGTGGGCGAGCGGGCTGGTGAGTGTTGCCCATTTATTTCATGTCTATTGGTTGCCCATCGCCTTTCCCCTTCACGTATGCGCGAGGGCTGTGTGCCACTTCCGCGACGCTCACGCTATATGCGCCGGATTTCGTACCTCCCTCCTTACTGTCACGCTCTCCATCCGCTGCGGCTACAGTGTCGTCGTTCTCTGAACTAGGAGTGGCGAGCGGCGAGCCGGAGCATCAGGGAAGTACGAGACGAAAGGTTCAGGGTTAATGTATGGTATGGCGTCGAGTCGCGACCCCGGTGCGCGATATACGCTTCGCGGAAGAGAACCGTGTCCCAGGCGGGAGCATTGCCTTAGGATAAGAGCCAGAGTGTGAATTACGGCTTGGGTCCCTGCGGTTAACGTTTCGCCTGAGACAAAGTCACCCTTTGATATATTGAGTGGGCACGGTTCTTGGCCGTGTCTACATGCGCGGGCTCACGGTCAATTTACCCGTGTAGTCCTTTATCTCGCTCTATCTCAATTTCTGTCCTCCCATTCGATTCTTAACCGGCGCCCATCATCCTTGTGTTCCCTTTCTTCTCCCTCCGCTTCGGGTGTCTAATTCAATCTACTTACATTAGTGATACTGATCAACCCGATTCGCAGAGCAACAACCACACATATGAGCCCAGTGCGGGCGGGTTCTCCCCCACGAACCACCTTTCTGTCGACCCGCGCGGCTTCAAGCATTTTATCCTTGCCGAAGCGCAGTCTTTCCTCGACCCGGCGCAAGTCCGTCTAAACTCTATGGTGAAGGAGATCCGCCTGAGTGGTTCATCACCCCGTGAAATCGGCGATAGCCAGCACCTCCAGCAGGTATGGCGAGTGCAAGGAGCGGGAGAGGATGAAAGAGTGGAAGTCGTGCTGGAGAGCGGGGAGGTGTTGACAGGCGAATACGCTCTGTGTACGTTCTCACTCGGCGTGCTGCAAGCGGGCGATGTGAGGTGGGACGAAAGGCTCATCCCGCACGGTGGGTGGAAAGAGAAGGCGCTGGCGGGGATGGACATGGTGAGGGTCAGCTCTACATATCACGGTATACCTATAAACGGAAAACTTGCATACTCTAGGCAACGTTCACGAAGATTTTTCTCCAGTTCGAAGAGAAGTTTTGGTTCGACACCGAGGTGCGTCGCTAGCCGATCACTCTGGTAGATCTGATAGCTTACGATATCGTACACGCACAGTTCGCTCTGTATGCGGGTCAGGAGCGAGGGTATTATCCCGTATGGCAGAGCCTCGACCACCCGAAGCTGTACCCCGGCTCGGGCATCCTCTTTGTCACTGTTACTGTGAGTACTCACTCACCTTCGGAAGCTCTCGCTCACGTTCACGTACTTTGGTCAATAGGGTGACTTCGCAAGGCGAGTGGACGCTATGTCAGAGAAAGACGTGAAGAGGGAAGTCTTGGAGGTACTAGGACGAATGTACCCGAACGTCACGATTCCCGAGGTTAGCTTCCTGCCCTCCGGGAACATCATCCACCTGATTTTTGCTGGGTTATTCTCCCTCTTGTTAGCCGATCGCTTTCCACATCCCGCACTGGCTCTCTGATCCACTGTTCCGAGGCTCCTATTCAAACTGGCCCGCCACCTTCACACGCTCGCAGCACGCCGCCCTGCGGGCAAAAGTCGGCGGGAAGAAGGGGAAAGTGTGGTTTGCGGGTGAGCATACTAGCGAGCAGTGGTTCGGTGAGTACTTTTCGTCGAGCGCGCCGCAGAGGAGCAGCAAGCTGAACAGTGCGGCAGGGTTCTTGCATGGAGCATACTATGAGGGGCTAGCTGTTTCAGAGGAGATGGTGAGGTGTATACGTGGATGGGAAGGATGCATAGATGTCAGATATTTTGCAGAGGTTCTATAGGGAAGTATAAATAAGTGCTGTTCAATGTTTAGCACTGTGGGAGCACTATATTCGGCCGCACCCTCTACTTGGCTTCACTACATTCATTGCCTGACCCGTATTGTAACATGAAGCTGCATGTGGTGATATGCACAGACACACAACAATCACCAAGGACCAAAAGGAATAAACCTAAACCCCGTGATATGGGTTAAGGTGGTCCGAGACAACTGAAGGGTATTTAATAGTTCGAGGGGGAAAGGAGGAGTAAGACACTGTAGGGTAGTCCGTAGGAAGACCTAGAAAAATAAAACAAAAACCTTGACGCCTGAAACAAACACTAATGGATGCTCCGGAGTATTTATCTCCGGAAAGTCGCAAACAAAGTCGCAAACCACGGAACTGAGTGTAGGTTCGGGCCCACGGGAGTAGGAAACACTAGAAAGACTTGTTTAATTTTATTTCGCTACATGAGACTCACTGGAGCTAATTGAATCGATGGCGGAGATAATTCACTCGACGAGTCAGGCCTATTGGCAAAGCTAGGATCGGTTATAATTCGCTAAGTTCAACGCTTTCGAACTTCTCGGGTCGCTGAGATCGTAACGCTAATTCTCTGAGATGGTGAAGTGCAAAAACTTGTTTTTCTGTATGCTACTTTGTACAATTTATACTACCGGAATGGCTTTGCGACCGTCCGGAGATAAATAACAAATAAACGCCGCTACCCACAGGATTGCTCAGCACTTGCCGCCGTCATACCATACACCATATGACTCTCTTGCACTCCTACTTGCTCGTCCCAGCCCCTAGAGGTCGCCTCAACGCTCCGCCACCTGCCCTAAGAGGTCCCATCACTCCGCGTGATGTGCCGATCACGTGCTAATTACCTCCGGCCGTTTGCTGACAGATGCTGGCCTCATGGTGACTCATATGCGTCCGCACCTTCAGTAGTTTGATGGAAACAAGAGGGAGTGAGTGTTGGAGGTTGGGCATGAGGACGACGCCCCTCGATAGACGCGTCTGCGGGCCCCGGAGCTAAGGCATTTATAAGGTGATTTACTAAATGCCTACCCATATGGAACGGACGGTAGGCCCCCCTACCGTCGCGCGCCCAAAATACCGCCCCAGCGGCCGTTCTGACTATCTGGAAAGGGGCTTAGGCACCTCCCCTTCAACATTGAAACATCCACCGGGGCCCCCCTCTATCCGTGCGGCCACCTGCGGGCGCTTCTGTGCCGACGGCCCATGGCTTACCTTTGACTGGCGACGGTTGGGGCTGAAATGCATCCCCTTGCTCCGCTCTTTGTGTGCACACCCTATTTCCACCCTCCTGATCCTGTTTACTTAGGCACCGCAGCCACCAGACCCGCTCGTTCAGCCTCCACCCATTTGCCCCCTGCCAGCACCGACATCGACGGTTGGGGCTGAAGGCGATCAAATAACACCGCAGTTGGGTGTATTCCCCTATTTATGGCTCTCTGATTTCATCTCAGTAGGCACAAAACCCATCAAGCTCTGCCCTTCATGCTGCAGCACATTTCAGCTCTGGCTGGGTGGGCGATGCACACTGGAAATTCACTTGGAAGGTTCCGCACCCTTTGGGGACACCCAGGGGCATCTGTTTGATGACAGTTTACCAGCCACTGAACCTCCCACCTGCCATGCTTGTGTTTCTACAGAATTACTATTATTCTTGAATATATACCCCTTGGGGATCCGACTGCTGTTGCTTAGCCAGCCATGCTGGGAATGATTCCACTCCCTCATTCAAGTGTTTAGAGTCATCTTTGACAGGCCCTGAAGATGCCAGCACTGTCTGCTGGTTGTCGAGCTTAAGTCCCATGTGCACAAGTGCGGTATATATTGCCACCGCTTGATCTCAGTCAATTCTGAAGCAATT